GCACTGCTTACATACAAGTTACTTCCCAAATGAGGAGTAACAGGAGCTTTTTAAGTGTGATGCTGTTGGCTCTGCTGAGAAGCAAGGCTTAACTGCTTGATGCTGCACCTAGTGTTTCCACTCAGGAGCTAAAGCGTAATTGGGTGTCCTCAGCATGGAATGTCTTCAGGACCATCAGGATAATAGGCTTGTTGGAGAAAGGCTTGCTGTGGGCAAAGATTGTATTAAAATCTTGACATTTTAATTTCTAACAGGAAACTTGCAAAGTGGATTCTCAGAAAAATTTTACTTAATAGTAATTGAATATACTCAAAACTGCTCATTATTACACATGTGGAACTTACACTTGAAGTCCATTCCAGTGTCAGTCGGTAGGTTCTTCTATGTTTTAACATAAAATTGAGTTTAAAAATGTTGATTACTTGCAAGTATATGTGTAATCCATTCTATTTTTGAGTTGTATTTTTTATTTTTAAAGTATCTTGAGTTGATATTAAGGGAAATACATTACAGATCCAAGAACAGCATTAATTATGTCCAGTTTATGTGCTCATGTTACAATTATTTTCTGTTCTGGAGTTTTTTAGGCTTAGTCTAGCCCTAACTATGTATTTTTGAGTAGTTTCTAAAGAAGAAGAAAATCCATGCATCTGTTTTTAAATTCATGGTAACAGGTGAAAATTAAGTTGATTTGTTTTTTTGCTTTTCAATTTAAAAAAAAAGGCAGAGCAAAAGCTGTTCAAGCTTACCCTCTAATTAATGACAGAAGTCTCTTCTGGTTTGAAGAAAAACAGTATGAAAATATAAAAACTTTAAGAACCTGTGTACTTTAGAGTGTGCCTTTTAATACTTCAGAATGGGTGAAGCTTGAAAGAAGGTCTCTCTGCCTCCTATTAAACTGGGAGTAGTGTTGAACACTTCCATCTGTGCAGTAAGACTAGGTCAGTAATACTGATAGTGGGTAGAGGTAAGATTCCTTCAGCTGGGTGGGTGCCGACAATGCAGTTTGATATCCCAACCAGTGCTGTATATATTGGGAAACATAATAGGAAAAAAAACAACATTCAAACCATAGCAGTGTTGCATGGCAAAAGAGTTGTCAATATATTTCTTTCTCACTTGTTGTCATGTGTCCTGTTGCTAAGTCCTTCATTTAAGAGGGTGCTTCACTCTGCTGAGCAGGAATCAGGAGAATAAATTCAGTAGATCTGTGTCCACTAATTCCTTCCTGTGAAACCCTTAGCCTTAATTTTTGCAGAAGGGATATAATAAAAGCATAACACCTTTTCAGGCAGCATTACTATTGTATTTGAATACAAAAAACTAAAGTTATCCTGAACTTTCTTTCCATTTTGATTAACGTATTGAAGTGTTAACTTACGAGAGAGCCAATATTATGTATGTGTATTCACACTCTTGGATACTTAAGCATAGAAAAGTAGGGTTGGAAGGGATTTTAGGAGGTCACTTAGTCCAACCCCTTGCTCAAGATAGGATCATCCTCGACTAAACCATCCTAGGCAAGTCTTGTCTACATACAGGCATATATGTGTGAATTTTACAAATGCCTTTGATTAGAGGTGTGCTTAGGTTTTGTCAAAAGTTGTTTATCATTAAAGATAAAGACTTAGTTTTTAATTAATGCATTTTTCTTTAGTTGAGAAGAGAGCCTCCAAAAGAGAGCCTGAAACAACAAAGCATCAAGAAGAGCTGCATTCCTCACCTACAGATCCAGAAAAGTTCCAGTCTCCCTTCACACAAAAATATCAGGCCTGTAAAGCAAACCTTCAAAGCACCAGTCGCCTTACTCTTTCTTCAAAAATGGTTTATAGTCAAGAGTTGGGTTTACCAGAAGGAGTGGAGATAATAAGTGTTAAGCCATCAGCAGGTGTGTAAACTAAAATAAGAGGTAAAACTAGTCTGTTTCTGGGATTGTTGTTAGACCTTTAAATAGAGATAAATTAATAGTGCAGTAGTTTGCCTAAGCAAGTGTATATACCTTCCAAATCTGATTTTATATTAAATTAAGTAGTCACTTTTTAAAAATTATGTTATATTCATGCAACAGAACCCTTACAGAAGCTAATCAATGATAAATGTTTCTTTAGATTAAAATGTTGAGAACTACTAGACTCAAGGCACCCCTTGTTAGACTCAGGGTGCCCTTCGTTAGATTTAAGGCATCCCTCAGAAAATGTCAGCTCTTAGTTTTCACTTGTTTCACTACATAAAAGTACTAGAACATTTTTGTTGCAAAGAACTCAGAAAGACCACAACAGATCATAAGGTTTTTGACACTTGATTCCTATTAGAAATCTCTGGGTTTATCTTGTGAATCATGTGTAGGTGTCTGCACACCTAGTAGTGCTAATACTCTGTGGCAACCCATAGTACCATGGTAGAGAATCACTGCTTTAGAACAAGGTTTTATGTTCTTCAGTGTGAAACACATTATAGCATTGGCTGTATTACTAATAATGAACGAAGTGTAAAAATATAAATGCAAAAATAATATGTAAATACTATCGATACTCATTTATTGCCCATGACTTGCATTCAAGAGATTTACGCTTTTAATAGCAAAACATTTGTTTTGAGCTAGCTTAGTGTATGAATTTCAGTGTGACTAGTGTAGGTCTTAGAGCTGTCTGCCTCTGTGTATTTTCATAAGACACCAAACATATTCAGAGATTCAGTAGAAGCTACAGCATTTCTGAAAGAATTTCTCTGGTGGCATTTGGAAAAACGTCTGGTAAAAGATGGCTATAGATTTATGAACAATATAACAAAATTAATTTTTGTAAATCTGTTGCAGCTTGTACTATGCAACTTAACTGATTTATGAAACATGCTTAGTGTGTTTCAACTTCCAACACTGCTGATGTTGATTATTTTTAAGTTTATTATACAGTTCAGCCATGAGCCCCCAGCTGCTGATTATTTGATACTGATTTTTATCCTTGATGTGGATTGAGTGCAATTAAGATTATGCCAAATCTCTGAATCATGGATTTAAAACAAAATGGTTTATTAATATTTATACATAACTTGATGCATAATTGTATGATTGCTTATTGAACCTCTTTTTATTTTTTTTTATTTTAGGACACTTGAGTTCATCTTCCATATATCCGGTTTGTCGTGCCCCTTATCTACTAGCAACTTTATGCTCTGATGGCAAAGTTAGGTTCTGGAGATGTAGAGTGACGGATTCAGTAGCTTCTTCCGTGCCAGAATATAGTGATGTTATATATATGTGGGAAGAATGGCCATTACTTATTGAGGATGGATTTCTTAGTAGTAGTGCTGTTAACGTTCCAGGAAAACCAATTGAAGTTAGCTGTGCACACACAAATAGATTAGCTGTTGCATACAAGCAGGTAGTCCCTAAAAATAGTCGCTTTTCCCAAGACTTCATGATTGATGTTAGTATTTTTGAATGTGAATCTACAGGAGGCTCATGTTGGATTCTAGAACAGACTCTTCATTTAGATGAAATAGGCACAACGTTAGATTCTGCTATAAGTATTGACAGCAATTTAATGGAGTATAATAAACAGGAAGTTTGTTTATCTGGTAATGGGAAAATTCCGTCAAGCGCAAAGCACTTGGTTCACTTAGACTGGATGTCTAGAGAAGATGGTTCACATATCCTAACAGTAGGAATTGGATCAAAGCTTTATATGTTTGGTCAGCTGGCTGGAAAGATGCAAGAACAAAATGGTGTGGAGAGTGTTGCTTTGCCACTATGGGAAACTGCAAAAGTTACACCCCTTTCTAGGTTTGTGTTGTTACGATGTGTGGACTTAATTTCTTCAGTAGAAGGATCACCTCCTTGTCCAATTTCTTTGTCTTGGGTTCGTGATGGCATTCTTGTAGTTGGGATGGATTGTGAAATGCACGTTTATTCTCAGTGGCAGCCTCCTTCAAAACAAGAGACAGCTGCTACAGACTCTTACCGTGGAAGCACACCATCTATAACTAGCTTAATGAAACAAAGCCAGTCAGCTGGTTCTGGCCTTCATCCACCAAAGCGAACCTTAACCAGATCCATGACCAGCCTTGCACAGAAGCTTAGTGGAAAGAGAACAATATTTGATATCCCTGTGGATATGGAAGATTCTGGACTTTTTGAAGCAGCACACGCATTATGTCCCACTTTACCTCAATACCACCCTTTTCAGCTTTTGGAGCTCATGGATCTTGGTAAAGTGCGGAGAGCAAAGGCTATCCTATCCCATTTGGTTAAATGCATTGCTGGGGAAGTTGTTGCTGTAAATGAATCTGAATCTAATCATGATCGGCGACTTAGATCTCTCACAATCAGTGCTAGTGGAAGCACTGCTAGAGATCCCAAGACATTCAACAAAACAGAAAATACAGATTACACGGAAATAGATTCTGTTCCACCACTCCCTTTGTATGCACTGCTTGCTGCAGATGATGACTGTTCCCATTCCTGTTCAGAAAAGTCCAATCATAAAAATAACTTAAGTAAACAAAATGATGTACCAGATGAAAATTATGAAGATCTTTTTCAGAGCTCCAGTTTAAGTACAGATAATCTCACCATGTTTGAGGCAGATGAAGATGATACAAAACCAAAGGTCATTGATCTTTCTCAGTATGGCCCAACATACTTTGGACTGGAACATGCCCAAGTTCTTTCTCGCCACTTGCTTCATTCAAGCTTACCAGGTCTCACTAGGATGGAGCAGATGTCATTGATGGCATTGGCAGATACAATTGCCACTACTAGTACTGATATAGGAGAAAGCAGAGACAGAAATCAGGGTAAGCTCTGTTTCTACAAAATGGTCAAAAATATTTTTAGATTTCACAAGCTTCTTAATATTTTTTTTTTGTTGTATTATTTTTGAAGCATCTTCCTAATGTATTAAATATTTTCTGTTCAACTTTTATGAACTGGGAAGCAGATTTTGCCATCAATTATTTAAACTTTTTAAATATCAGATGTCTTAATAAAATCTTGTTTTTGAAATTACCAGTTAATGAAATTTGGAAGTATTTTAATTGCCCAGTAATATCATGACCTCTAGATGGGTTCTGTGAGGGGCCAATGAATCTTGCCCTGCTGTGGATTTGAAGTCTTTGCAAACATGACTTTCTAGACCTGCTGTTAAAGCAGTTTACATGCTCTTGTTGGAAAGTTCTAGGATATGTTTCTGGAGTGCCAAATTATTTTTGCAGTTTTAATGAGCTTATTAGGAGCTTTTAGGCTCTTGTATGGTTTTTAGTTTGATTGTACATCTAATTTTTAGGGCCCCTAAAGCTTTTGCAAGTGGATGATTTTGTCTAAGGAAATAATCAGAAGTTGTTCTCACTGAGGAGTTAACTCACACTGTCCTAAGAATGGCCTCTCATTTTTCAAGGTGGTTTTGATTTGTGTGGCTCTTCTGCTCTTCCATCTCTGCCTCCTCTTCCCCCAACTCTCATACCCATTTGAACAGAAAGAAGGGTGGGTGTAGTTTTTTGTTTTTAATTGTTTACTGAAAGGGTAGC